AGAGTTGTATCCATGCCCTTAGAAGAGAGCCGCTAACATTTTCTGGCACAATAGGTGGTCTACCCTAACGGGTAGTAGCCTCAGGAGCCCATCTATATGCTGAATTAATGCCTCAGAGACTAGAAAAAGGAACAACTTACACTACTTGTTAGGAAGAAATGTCGTTTTTGTATCCAGTCGGTGGAAAATTGCGAGTTGGGCGAAAGGTGTAGAAGGAGATTTCAAAGCAAATATAAAGCACTCTAGTCCTCAAAGCTTCATATGAAAGAATAAAGCTTTTTGATCCACGAAGATTAGTTTTGCTCCTTCTTAGGAAAGGCAAAGGTAAAGATCCATCTCAGAATTCGGTCTGTGGATTGAAGCCCCAAGTCAAGAAAGGTAATTGCATCGGCAGGTTGTACATTCCTCGCTGCACGGATCTAATTGGTGAAGCACAAAGCCGTTAGTTGCACATGGGACCATATCCAGCACCTGGAAGCAGGGTCAACCGTCACGTTCGAACATTTTCGGGATTTTTGCGACCCCCCTCTCGAGAGGGTCCAGTTGCGACCCCCCCAACACACAGTTGCGACCCCCCAACACACAGTTGCGACCCCCAATACAACCAGCCTTCCCCACCGCGACCTCTCCCTCTTCTATAGTATTTGATTCTGAGACCAGTTGACACAGCCCAAAACCTACCAAAGCGACCCCTCTCCCCTCCCAGAACACAAATGCGACCCCCCCCCGTTCGAACAGTTCGAACGGACGGTTGACCCTGCCTGGAAGTCCAGCCACGAAGTGACGTCATCTGCTACGTCCGCTCCTCACTCGTACCCACACTCTCCTGCCACTCCTTATCCTTGTCTCCTTACCTCGCTGTCTGCTTCTCGCTACCCTACACACTCTGGAAGGAAGGGTCTTCGTTTTTGAAAGTTTTCGCTGGTCCGTTTCACACCTCACCCCTATTTCCATTTCGACAGCGCAATTTCTATATCAGCTTGATTCTAGGGCGTTCAACTATTACTTACCATTGCATTTGTAGTGCGTGTTGATCATTGATATATCGTAGAATGAGATTACTGTTGAGCCCATAGTGCGCATGAATCTCTGCTGCATAGGAGACATTGTTTGAAAAGTACTGCTCGAACCGCTGAATGTGCAAAGTGCAAGTAGTTTATACTCTCCCAAGGCAACAGTCACAGTGCGATCTATATTTTTGCTACTAAAGAGTTGAAGAAGAGCCCTAGCCACGAACTTAAGAAGTGTCGCTGAACAAAAAATGCATCTCTTAAATCCGTTGCAAAGGACTTGGGCGTGGCAATGCTACTGATCCGCCTTTTTCATTGATCCGCCCACTAGCTAGATAGAGAGACATCGGATTGGCCGCGTGGTCCCTGCGCGATTGCGATTGTACTGTTCAGCGTTTAAAAGAATGTCTGCTTTTTGTTCGATTTTTTTGTTTAAATTGTTCAATTATCGCATTTCTTTGTTCGTATTGGTGCATGTATGATTGCAGACGCGTTTCTTGCTGGCACGAATTAGCACTGAACAAGCTAGCTCGGACAGCTCGTCCAGCCCACCCATCCTTACTACAGGGGAAAGAGAGGGAGTCTTTGAGAGCTTCATCGGCGGTTTTCTTTGTTTCTTTTCCTTCATTTTCGAAGAACACGACATTCACAATTTTATAAGCTACTATAACCGCGCGACTTTGATCTGGAGTTTCTTCGAGACCGAAAAAAAATGATTGCGAGAAGTATAAAGTACTAACTGAACACTGGAGTGATGCAGCAAGCTTCCGTATTCGTATGGTGTGTAGTTGAGTGTACGATTTTCCTTGGTGAAGGTGCTCTTCATTTCTTCCTGAAGGATTTTTGCATTCAACGAAACGCCTAACGTGTATTAATTTTGGGATGCGGCACGCATTCTACTTCCATTTGTACATTCGTAGTGGCGTTTGAATGCGATGTGGCCTATACAATGACTTGCGGGGGCCAGCCGATGTACAAGTCAGTGTTTTTTATCCTCCCAGACAAGTCTGGTACCAATTAACCGACCCCGGAGGGATGGAAGGCTTGGTTGGCCCGGGCGACTCACGACCCAGGATTTGATCCCCGGACCGCTCGCGTGGTAAGCGTGCCACTTGCCACTACACCACTTCCGCCCTTATATAACGATATAATTGGTATTGCATTTGGTACGCAAGAGGGCCCGCCTTCGCGTGTGAAGCAGATACGCAGACTGAAAGACGAGCCTCGCAGCGTAATTGTGGATGTAGACTTGCGTCTCATAACCACTTGATTTACCTAAATTGCGACTTTGCGCTGGCGAGTTGAACTCGGCGACCACGCGTCTCCGCCTTCTCGCCACTTCGATTGCCCCTCTGTCAGGTACCCGGTTTGTGCAAGAAGCTACTGCAAGCGATGGAAGCCCCAAGCCTACTATTAATCAATACAGCACTAGGAATGGATTATTTTATCTCTATGGCACTGATGAGCGAAGCAATTGTAAAGGGTGAACATTTGTAAGTTATTTACTTACTCACAAGTCAATAACTCACTGCTTAAAAGATGCAATGTAGATTCAGAACAAAGGTTCGGCTAGCCTTTCTGGTCCACCGTGTAGACCCTAGCTGCCTTTTTTTTTTTCTCAGCTGATTTCAACTGTAGTCCGCATACATATGTAGGAGTATCAGTTTACCTGAGGAGCCAGAAAATTTCGTTCTCCCAGATATACTGACCAGCTCACAATGCCACAGTTCCAGATATCGGGATATCCAGAGATTTTTCGAGAATAAATGTAAATATAAGAGTAACGCCGACTCACCATCAATGTTAGGTCCTTGATAAATGTTCGCAGTGTCGTACGTCAATGAAGAAAGCTCGAAGAAATGGCATAAATTCCATGCTCCATGGCTGCCCCAGCACAAAAAATCAATCGTATAGACAAAGAAGCGTGCATAGTGTCGAACCTCGCGTAATCGACCCTGCGAAGATTTGCTAAAGTTTTGAGCTAACCTTTTCAAGGTTTTGCCTTTCTCATGGCCTCAAAAAATTCATCATCAGTTTTATGCTCTACCAGGTTGTCCCATAACCCTCCAGCAAGTTTCCCCATGAGACACAAAAACCAGAAGCGCTCCAAGTTCTGAGCGCCTTTCCAGGTCAACCTAAAAAAGCTGACCTGAGGGCTCTGAGCACGTTAGATAACCCTCGTAGCCTACCTCGAGTAGTTAATAGAAAAACTCACGCTTGCCGTAAGGTCGGGTAACGCCAGTGTTTGTTCTCCTCCTTTCATTCCAATATGCGATGAACAAGGTGGTCCATGGAGCACTTTTATTCGATTCGGTGCCGTGGCATTCTCGACGAAATTGATGCACGTACGATCACGGATATATTTCAGCCTATTTCTTATGTACAGTTTATCAGCTGAAAACAGTTCCGTTGTAACGCTTGGTGGACACCACAAATGAGAAATTCCAAGAACGTACTTATACTTTCGTCGAAATAGTAGTAAACTGTATTCTTTGGCCAACGAGCTGCACTTTCAGAGCCCTGACGCTTGACGCGAGTGTTGATTTCTTCGTTTAGCCCCACACCGGCGCCGAGTGGTGCAGTGATTCCTCCATCTGCTGCCTTCAATAGAGCGTTCAGAATTTTCTTAGCAGCAAGTAATCGCCTAACTCTCTAGGGAACATCATGTTTCTTTATCTGCAAAACAGCTCCTACCACATCTAATATGGGTGCTCTTATCTACCTAGAGATTCTTCTGAAACTACAAAACAAGGTATAAGTAATAATCACCTAGAAGAAATATGTTGATGTTCAAAACCTTCGAAGGTAGTAGTAGCTTGAGGAGTGTGCCTATGCGGTGGATGGGTTGTGCGAGGTATAGAAAGGGTTTCCTTCATAAATAAAATCAGGGTTATGATCAGGGTCAACTATGCGTTGTTCCAATACCAAGAATTCGACAACCCCCCGCTCAACCAAATTCGATGCGACCCTGTTACCACCATCAGCCTTGGGGGAATCTCCGGATACGACCACCCCCCTCCTCCACCCACTCACGGCCATCCTCCAAAACCCAATACGACCGACAAGGTTGGATTTTTCCTCTAATGAAGCAGTAAGACCTTCAATTTTGACCCGAGTTCCGAATCATCAAAAAAACCCGCCCAAATACCAACGGCCCCTCCAACCTTAAAAATCCGACCCTCTTTCCATTCTTTTGACTTTCAGCACTCCTCTTGTTGAGATGCGCCACGCACTGTTGACCCTGGTTATGATACAAGGGTGCAATCGTCCCCCGTTAACGAATGCTAAGTGACTAAAGGCATAATGCGCGACACCTCTGCGTCAATCTTTTTGGGCACCGCTTTCAAAAAAAGGAAGGTCCTATTCGGTTTTCGAAATGATTTTACCTAGCCTGTTGCCAGGGCTCATCGCAAGAAACACCTAAGAAGCAGTGTCCATTTTTCTCCTGAACGTCTCGGGAATGTTCGAAACAGTGGCGAAAGGAAATGGGTTCGAGTCCATCTCCGAGATTGACTAATTTTGCGATATAATTTGGCGCTCCCAGATTTGCGCCAACTGGCGCCATCGTCGAGAATGGATGTCATTGTTGTGTTTTGAGGCAATTTGGAGGCGTCAACATGAATTGCAAAAATTTGTCATCACGGAGGATCGAAACTTGGACCATTTCCCCCGCTGTTTTGACAGTCCTGGAGCGTTCAGGAAAAATGGACCATGGTTCTGTGCTCACACATGAGCCTCTACAATTTTCAGAAAACTATTTTGAAAAACGCTAGATGTCCTGAAAACCCCCCTTGTTAGCTTTCGAACTACTCGTAAGTTCTTACTTGGCAGTGTTAGCTTTCAAAATTCTTACCTCTGTCAAGGCAACTTTGCCTTCCACAGAAAAATTGAAGCTGATGTCGAGAAGAACTACAAGAAGGAGCAGAGCTTTGATCATCGGAGAGGTGGGTTTAGAGCAAACCTGCAATATTTAGTGCTTTTTGAACATTTTTGTGCTTTACACAGCGTGTTGGTTCTTCTGGGGCAGGAATGGGCAAGCTTATATTTCAGACACTCGGATTAACCCTAAATGATGCAGGAAAAAAATTTTAGCGGAAAAGTTTGCCAAAATGAATTGATATTTGAGTGAAGCCACACGTTGCCTATGAGAATGCTCGATGGATGTCCTTATATAGCCGCAATCGGTTCCATTGAGATCATATATGCTCTACACCGTAACCACAAACTCTCGTCATCGTTTGTGTTAAGCTTGTAAGCTCTACGGAACGATGGCGCGCGCATAGGCTGAACAGGATTGGAATTATTCGATTGAGTTTTGACCTGTTGAAAGGATTACGAACGTATGATGTCTAGCGATGACCAAAAATGAAAATTATGTTCAGTCAAAAGTCTGCGGTTCCGATTAAACCGTAAAGAGTTCTTCCAGTTTGAGGCTGCTTCAACATTATCGGCCTTAAGCCCTATTTGGACTTGTTTACTGCTGTTTTTGACTGCAGTTTGCCTTGCGAAAGTTTCACAAGAATATTGGGTTATGAACAAAACTTCGCCTCCAGACGGGACACGAAGCCCAAACCTCATGTTCTTTGAGGGCGGGGGGGATGACTCCAAGTGAGTGAGCCAAGTGAGCTTACTGTGCTTGTGACTAAGCCAGATAGGGGAGGGATCCTTGGAGAGCATGTGAGCAATTCGCGTTCTACCTGGCGTTTCTCTCTTATGCTGGGCTTATCCGAGCAGCACCATCGGCCCTGTTTTGAATCTCTCTCCCCCCCCCCCCCCAAGGATATGAGCGCCCAACATATTTTATCTGAACTTACACGTATAACGTGATGCCCGGTAAGCGATAGGTGCAGGCTCGAGCAAATCAAGATTAATTGCTACAGCTATCAGTTTGTTGGTTTATTGCCGATATCTACTGACTGGTTCACGACGCTATACTAGTGAGTGCTGGTAAGTTGAAGCCCTGTCTTTGATGACTAACTTCTCAGATTACTAGTGTTGATCTGGATAAGAACCAAACCATACCTACGAATTGACAGGCGGGTGGTGGTAGACGCCCTTATAGGTGAGATTTTGGTAGTTCGGACGAGTTCACCTCTACAAAAGATATCATGGGACTAAAAGATTAAGAAAGCTTCTGTGATGAAATCCATCTCTGACATTGAAAGAGGACCACAAAAAGCAGTAGGATCACCTACCACTGACTGCATGATTTGCTATTGCTGTGGTTTCTTTTAAAGGGGGTGATATGCGCGCTCTGAAAAGAATGAGTTGCATCTGACAGTCTACCTTTAGGTGCAATATACGTTCAGTATACATGCGCCTGGAATAGCATTTGTTCCCCATTTCCTCTCCATCGCCAACCAGATCATTCCCACTCTCGCCTCTGAGAAAGCTAACTCATTTCCTGCAACATTAGCAGATCCGTCATTTTCTACCGTAGGCCTAACATGGATTAGAGCGCAACTCAGGATGAGCTCAAGTGAATGAATTCTTTTGTTAGGTGTGATATGGCTGTTCTAAGCTCTGGAGCGTGCAACAAGGTTCCTTAGGTCTTGCAAAAATCGCTTCCGTTCCCTCTACTTTTTTGTAGCATGCTAGCGTCTGA